AAAATTTGGAGAAATTGTTGGGGCATCATGAAGGAATAACTCCTGCTTTTCACCTGTCCTAAAAGGGTGCAGTCTCCAGGTCTACATGGCAGCAGAAGAGGGTATCAGCACCTGCCTGACCCACATCAAATGACCTCCTAAATCCCAGAGGGCCCTTGTGCAGTTAAAGAGTCTGCAAAAACTGCACGTCTACCCCTGGATATGGGTCTAAGCTAGTATAGTTTCATTTAAAATTTAAAACCCATTTTAAAATCCAATAGCTCCAAGGACTCAAACCTGGAGACCGGAATTGCCGTAGATTGAATGGATCAGGCTAACTGCTTCTGAATCAGATTTTTAATCAGTTGCTCATCACTAGTGAGGCACATTATACTTCACTGTAACCAACAGATTAAAAAAAGCCTTCTACAACTTCTGCTTGTAAATTGATTTGGTACATTTTCATTATTTTCTTTTGCACCAAATAAAAGAATAATGCAAACAGAAGAGACGGCATGTTCAGGGACATAACAGTAGTATACTGTAGTCAGATAATGTGTTCCTTCTTTTAATGCTTCCTGCTCCATCTGAAGAGTGAGTCATCTCAGAACCCTTTTCTCTTCAATGAAATGGCAAAGCCTTGTAATTTAACTTTGTGGCGAGCCAGATGATATAAAAAAATGAGAATTGATTTTATTTTTAGGCTCTAGCAATTCTGTTTTATTATACAAAATCTGTCACAATCATGACACAGGTTTGTTTTTTCTCACTGCTCGGAACATAAAAAGGATTCCGGTCCGATGGAAAAAGCAAGATATTGTTTAAAAGCAAGCTGCTGAAATTGTTAACTATAACTGATTAACACCTACGTTCCTTGCAGTATACAGTCCTGGACCTGACGCCATGGATCATTACGGACCTGACATAAATCTTCCAGCTGGGCGCAGGGTTGGATTTCCCACAAGGCCAACCGAGGCCCGGCCTCAGGGCAGCAGGGGTGTGGAATTCCTATCCCCCGACGCCCGGGACATGCAGTTCTGGGCATCGGGCGGGTAGTTGTTTTCCACATTTAGCCCTGCTTTAGGCAAGAAGAGCTAAATGTACAGCGGGGAAGCTGTACAAGTGATCTCAGCTATGTCACCGAGATCACGCTGGGTGGAAGATTTGTAGATTAGCCCCTACGTGTCTGTGCCCATTCCCTGACAGCACAGCTTACACAGGGTGGAAACTCCTGTTGCCTCATATGGGCAAAGCTTTATTTCTGGTTTAGTTTAGATCTGCAGTTGACCTCCTTCTGACATGCACTTGCCTTTTTTTAAGTGGGTTTTGAATTCCCATAGACTTGCATAGGAATGCAAACGCCACCTGAGTTCCTTTTCACAGAAAGGGTTATTGTTTTAAATTACATTGAGGTTATGTTATGATCCCAGTTTTGCTATGAATACAGTGGCGTAACCAGAGTTATGGGCGCCCGGGGCAGAACATTTTTTTCGCCCCCCCCC